GCTGGAATTGGGGCAGAAACAAAGAAGAATGCAGAATTGATGTTTTACAGTGGAAAGATGATGATGAGAGTGACACAGAAGAGATAGTAGAAAGCGATGAAGAAGAAGGCAATGGTGTTGATACAATAAATTCAAGTGAAATTGGTTCACCTTCTAGTGAATCAAATGAGGATGATTCGCCGATTTTGAATGAAGGGAGGGTAAGAAGAGCACCTTTATGGATGGCAGACTATGAAACAGGTGAAGGTTTATCAGATGAAGATGGTCTGAATGCTATGATAATGCTCACTGAAGATGATCCACTTACATTTGAAGAAGCTGTCAAGAGCAAGAAATGGAGGGATGCAATGATGGCAGAGATTGAGTCAATAGAAAAGAACAAAACATGGGAGCTGACTGTCCTACCAGAAGGAGTGAAGCCAATCGGAGTTAAGTGGGTTTTTAAGACTAAACTTAACGAGAATGGAGAGATAGACAAGCACAAAGCAAGGCTAGTGGCGAAGGGGTATGCACAGCAGTATGGAGTTGATTATACTGAAGTTTTTGCTCCGGTGGCCAGACTTGACACCATTCGATTGATATTGGCTTTGGCAGCTCAAAACAGTTGGGATATTTTTCAACTAGATGTAAAGAGCGCATTCCTTCAAGGTGAACTTAAAGAAGAAGTCTTTGTGCAACAACCATTAGGATATGAGAAGAAAGGAGAAGAAGACAAAGTTTACAAGTTAAGAAAGGCGTTGTATGGCTTGAAGCAAGCACCGAGGGCATGGTACAGCAGAATAGAAGCTTATTTTGTCCAAGAAGGCTTTGAAAGGTGTTTTTGTGAGCACACACTGTTCACAAAGGCTAAGGAGGGAGGTAAAATTTTAATAGTAAGCCTTTATGTTGATGATTTAATATATACCGGAAATGATAAGAGTATGTGTGATGAATTTAAGAATTCAATGAAGTTGGAATTTGATATGTCTGATTTGGGGAGGATGAGGTACTTTCTTGGGGTTGAGGTGATACAAAGTCCAGATGGGATATTTGTGTGTCAAAGAAAGTATGCTCGTGAAGTTTTAGCAAGATTTGGAATGGATAAAAGTAATTCAGTGAAGAATCCTATTGTTCCAGGCACAAAGTTATCTAAAGATGAAGCTGGAACCAAAGTTGATGAAACTTTGTTCAAGCAGTTGGTTGGCAGTCTTATGTACTTGACTGCAACTCGACCTGATTTGACGTATGGAGTGAGTCTTATTAGTAGATTCATGTCTTGTCCAACTGAATCTCATTGGCTTGCAGCAAAAAGAATATTAAGGTATTTGAAAGGTACAACTGAGCTTGGAATTTTCTACAAAAATAGAGGTTCCACAGATCTAGTAGCTTACACCGACAGTGATTTTGCCGGTGTTTAGATGATCGGAAGAGTACATCTGGCTTTGTTTTCTTGCTTGGTTCTGGGGCAATTTCATGGTCTTCTAAGAAACAGCCTGTAGTGACATTGTCTACTACAGAGGCTGAGTATATAGCTGCTGCATTTTGTGCCTATCAGTGTGTTTGGCTGAGAAGGGTGTTAGAGAAACTTGGTCATAAAGAAGAGAAGAGTACTGCAATTCAATGTGACAATAGCTCTACTATAAAGCTGTCCAAGAATCCAGTTTTTCATGGTAGGAGCAAGCATATTGATATAAGGTTTCATTTTCTTAGAGATTTGACAAGAGACAAAGTTGTGGAGTTGAGCTACTGCAATTCTCAAGAACAAGTTGCAGACATAATGACAAAGCCTCTCAAGTTAGAACAGTTCTTAAAACTCCGAAATATGCTGGGAATGGTTGAAGCTTCAATGATAAACTAAATGCTTTTAAGTTTAAGGGAGGGAATGTTGGACTAATAGTCAGTTAGTATTTTTACTGTTATTTGGGTTTATCTGTTTGTTAAATAAAGTCCTATGCTTTAGGGATGTGGAGATATGAGTTCTGTTATTCTTTTAATTAGTCACCACGTTGCAAGCCATGTAATACGTGGATCTGTTATGCTTCAGTTTTTTTTTTTTTTTTTTATGTTGTAAGGCTATAAAGCCAACACCTGTTTTTGAATTCTAATAAGATTGTTCTATGAAAATCTGTGTGGTACTATTCTGTTTCAACAAAGTCATCATCACATGTTTCCAAAAATTCAAATAAGCTCCACAATCAATTTCACCAACGTGCTAACTACTACTGTACCACTCTCAATCAAAACATGTCTCAGTTTCGATCGGGCTAAGTTAGGAGTACAGCTATGAGCTCATATAATAGTTTATGGCATAAAATGCAATCAAAATTAATGATGTATTACTTTAAAGAATATATCATGACTCTCACGATGACAAATGTTTGGCATTTTTTCAATTAACCAAAAAATAAAGGGTACTCAAAACATAATATTTTATCTTAATATTACTTAAGATAGTGTTTGTTTCAGGAGTTTTTTAGATATTTCTAGGGAAGTGATTCTGACTTTATCATTTTTTCGTGTTTGGTTCAGGGTATCATGATTTTTGCCCATCAATATCAGATGCATAGCTATCTCAAATTGCACTTAAAAAAGGAAGAAAAGACTGTTCAAGAATCCAACAAATTAGGTGGGATTGCATCTAAAAATCAGATAAGTTAACACGATACAAAACAGTGACACTACTACCCCTTAATGCAGTGGGACAATTGGCTGTATAATTTTGTAAAAGGATAATTTTATAATTTCAATAAGTTTTTCCATCAATATTTTATATTCAACCAAATACACATTCAGGAATTTCACTCAATTTTTCTGGTAATATTTTGCTCAACCAAACAATTTTTTTAAAATTTTTCTATCTAATTCACTTTCCTTGCATATTCTTAGTATTTACATTTTCCTAGTATTATAAAATTTCTCCTCAATCAAACACTACTTAAGAAAAAAGGCATAATGTAGTATCAACAAGCATTGGATGTGTGTTAGATGCTAAACATTTAAGATGCTTGATCATATATAAGATATATTATATCTTATATGTTTACATTCTAATCTTATAATTTGACTGCATGAGAGGGAGACGTGACTCCAGGAACAACAAGAAGATGGTACGAAGGAGAAGAAAAAGGGAGAAAGCTGAACTGACACAGGCTGGGGGCGTAAAGGCCCCAAAAGGTGTAGAATAAGAATGTAGAATAGAAGATAGAAAATCCAAAACCCAGAAGGGAAAAAAAAAAAAAAAAAAAGAGAGAGTGAGGGACCCACTTTAATAACACCGTATGGAAGCTTTTGACTGCTTCAAACAAAACCTGCCAACCTTTCGAGTCTTTCGACCCCATATACATTAAATTTTTTGTTACTTCCATTTCTACATTACTAATATTAATTTTCTTGTTCTGTTTTCATTATATTTTTCGCCGACACACACTCACTCTACACTCAATACTCATGCTCCGAGTCTAGTACTGTTCCTTTTTTATTTTATTTTCTTTTGATATATTCTCTCTCTCTTCATTGCTCTAAGCTTCGAATCTCCGTGTGTCCCTTTCTTTAATGGCTTTGCCTTGTACAACCAGTCGCGATCTGAAACCCAACTACTACGGGACTAACCCCAATCTATTCTTCTTCTTCTTCTTCTTTGTTATATCTTGTGTGTCCATGCTACTCTTGCATGTACTCCTCCTCACCTGAACCACACTTCTGAGCTTTGTAACCACAATGGCTCATACCCGTTTAGCTTTCTCTCCCCTTCTCGCCGAGTTTGTGTCATTCTCTTTGATCTTTTCTGTTCTTCCTCTTCTTGCCTTCGCCAACACTGACCCTTCTGATGGTAATTCCTTTTTTCTCATTTTTTTTTTCTTAATTTTTTTTTTTTGGTATGATCACTCTGCGCTTGATTGGTTTGGTCGGTGTTAAATTTGATAGTGCGATGGAAAGTATTTGGCTTTGATAAAAAAAAAAGTTTGGATTTTGCATTGTGGGTGGTTTCCTGAACACAAGTTGAGGCTTCACTTGTTCATGTTAGATTTTGCTACCTGCTTGTAAACTCTGTTTTGTTGCAATGCAGTTAATAAAGCCTTGACTTTTTTTCATTAACATGCCAAAAGAAGCGATTTTTAGGTTGAACCCATGTGAAAGCTTTGAGTTTTGGGGCTTTGATTTTGTTTTGTAAACTCTGGTTGTAGAGGGAGTGCAATACTGCAATAAATGAAGTTACGGTTTTCCATTTCAAAACACGGTCTTTTTATTTTTTTATTTTTTTATTTTTTTGAAATAAGGCTACGCCGAACTCGGTTTTAAAATGGTGTTTCCTTTTTTGTACATCTCTATATAAATTTGTCACTGCAAACCAACAGTGCCACTTCCTTCTATTGGTAGTTTTTTTTATTGTTGTTCTTGCTGTTGTTACAGTTCAAGCTCTTGAGGTTATGTACAACGCGCTAAATAGTCCAACTCTGTTAACTGGTTGGAAAATCGGTGATGGTGATCCATGTGGAGAGTCATGGAAAGGGATAACATGTGAGGGTTCAGCCGTTGTTTCCATGTATGAGATTCAGAAGATACTGCAGCATTGTAATTTTATTAATATTATTATTGTTATTATTTTAGTGCGCTTGTGATTGATAAAACTAACTGATTTCCCCTTGGAATGCTTGTTAGTGAGCTTTCAGGTTTAGGACTCGATGGAACTCTGGGGTACCTGCTTTCAGACCTTATGTCACTGAAAAAGCTGTGAGAAAATTCTACTGTGTTATTTTTGTGGGACACATAATCTTTACTGTTTTAATGTATTGGTGATTGATTTTTAATTTTTTTTTTTGTGTGTTTTTCTAGTGACTTAAGTGACAACAAGATCCACGATACAATTCCCTACCAGTTGCCGCCTAATCTTACCAGCCTGTAATGTTTATCTACAATTTATTGCTCTTTTCATTTCTTGATCAGTTTCACCTTGCTGCTTTATCAATGTTAAATTTTCTTGTCACTGAAACGTGTCATTACTATTCAATTTTAACAATCAGGAATCTTGCAAGAAATAATTTAACTGGAAATCTTCCTTATTCCATTTCTGCCATGCTTTCACTCAATTATCTGTAAGTTGCTTTTGAATTTATACAATTCTATTTCATAATATTCTATTTGGTCATATATTGGATCCACTCTTACACTCTATTTCTATGTGGTTTTAGGAATGTAAGCAGTAATGCGCTCTCCCAGATGATTGGTGACATTTTTGCTACTCTTTCTGATCTTGGGACCGTGTAAGATATCGTACATTGTGTCTTCATTCCATTTACTATTCTGACTAAGAAAATAATGCTTACTGTACTGATTTGTGGCCATGGTTAACCAATTTTGGTACTTTTAATTTATTTATTTTTAGCAATGAACAAAAGTTTTTCCCTGGCTGAATCTGAGACTTCTGCATTTTGAGATTGAGATATTATTTTTTTGAATTCAATTTTTTATGAGTGTTGGATTGGACTCACAGCATGTTCAGAGGTTAACTCAATACTTGAACTATATGGTGATTATGAATCTGCAACTTCAGTGGCAGATAGTTTTTACTCTTCCTTTATATCATTGTGACTACTCTCAGGATGCTTGCCAAAATCAGGAGTATTTGATTTCCATATTTTTATATGAGAGTTAAATTCCAATTCTTAGTCATAGTTTCCCAGTTTAAGGTTGGTTTTTGGTGTGCTATTCTTCCATGTTCATTCATTCAATTAACTACTTATTCTTTAATGTCAATCTGAAAAAGTTAGGGTCACTTATACAGTAATATTCGCTGGCTAAGGTGAAATAAGTTTTTCTTTTCTGAAAAGTTCATTCTTTACAATTCTTTCGAGTAATCACAAGTCAGAATCCAAATTCATTTACCATATTAACATAAAGTTTATGGTCCAATGGAAATCCCTTCCATAGTGAGAGAAAAAGTTTCATGCTGAAATTGTAAAATTCTTTAGAATTTACAGTCATTGGTTTGTGCTAATTATTAGTGGCTTGTTATTCTTAATTTTATGGTTGATTCTATTTGATGAATGTTTGCCTTCATTTTCTATGATGCAGGGATCTATCATTCAATAACTTCTCTATGGAGCTTCCTCCTTCAATTGGTTCATTGTCCAAACTTTCTTCTCTGTATGTTGGCTAATATTTTAATTGATGAACTGATAGCAATTTGCAGTAAATGTTAATTTAATGCTTATTGAAACTTCATTGCAGCTTCTTGCAGAATAACCAGTTGACTGGCTCTCTTAACGCTCTTGTTGGTTTGCCTTTGGATACTTTGTAAGTTCTTCTCCCTTTGGGCCTTGAATTATCTGTATGTCACATTCTCAGATTCTCATCTTACCCTCTAATTTTCCAGAAATGTTGCAAACAATAATTTCAGTGGATCAATACCTCATGAGCTTAGTTCCATCCATAATTTCATGTAAGTATTTATGCATTTCTGTATGAATCGCCAATCTGTTTTCCAATGCTTAACTTCAGCAATGTGGTTGATGTGACTCTTCAAATATGAACTAGATATGATGGAAATTCTTTTGACAATGGTCCTGCTCCTCATCCGCCAGCATCCACTTCACCTCCACCTACTGGATCTAGTAGTAGTCATCATCATTCTGCATCTGGTTCACATAATAAAACTCGGGGTTCTGCTAAAGAAAATTCTGATGGCCATAAGGGTTTGACTGCGGGGGCCATTGTAGCAATTACTCTAGGTTCAGCGTTGGGGGCTGTTATTGTGCTACTTGCACTTGTTTTTTGTATCCGGAAGCAAAAACGGAAGGAAAAGGGTGCAAGAACTTCTAATGGGAGCCTTCCTCTTGGAATTACTAATGGTGAATTTCTCTAACTTCTTGTTTCCAGATATATGTTATGATCATGTAATTTGGTTTCTTTGTCAAACCTAGTCTAATATGGAATATGCATTAAGCTGGCCCAATCTTTGTTGAATGTCAATATTTGGAGGCAACTAAAGGTAGCAGCTATAAAGTAGTGGTGTTTAGAAGACTGTTTTGAGGGAAATTGGGATTTGGAGCTTCATATTCAGTATAAATCCCATGAAAAGAGCATTTGCATCATGTTAATTTTAATTGCAAATCTGTTTTCTATTAAAAATATTATAATGGCATTTTTCTTTATTCTTTTACAAAATTCATTTGCATTATCCTTTTGAAGCTATTTTTCTGTAAACTGCTCCTTGCATTATCCTGACCAGTTTAGCTTTTCTTTTGGGTTTGTACTTGCAGTAACACCTCAGATGCAAGAGCAAAGGGTAAAAAGTGCTGCTGTTATTAAAGATCTCAACCCTCGTCCTGCTGAAAATGTGACAATTGAGAGGGTACCTGTAAAAAGTGGATCTGTAAAGCAGATGAAGTCCCCTATAACTTCCACACCATACACAGTTGCTGCTCTCCAAAGCGCAACAAATAGCTTTAGTCAAGAATTTATTATTGGTGAAGGTTCTCTTGGTAGAGTTTACAAGGCTGATTTCTCCAATGGAAAGGTAACCTTTTACTGTCGCTTTTGTTATCTACCTTCCTGCTGTCTTTTTGGGAATTTATACTCATTATGTAGGGATGGAAAATACATAGTAAAGGACCATCTTGATTTCCATTGGTTGAACCACTCCTGTGGGAAATGAAACGTGCCAGAGTCAGTATAGTAATGTAATTTCAGTACACATGACATGATTGTTCAAATGCCTGTTCTCCACATCAGCTTCATGCATAGCTTGGTTTGGCACCCAAGGTTTTTAATGCATGACGAAATGTATTTGAAGATTTGATCACATTTTCCATAACTAAGTACTGGAAGAATGTGATGGTGATTTATAGACATCTTTCTTCTTCAATAAGTTTTGCTTTGCCGCATGTTCAACCCAATGTTTCTATTTTCCTCTTCTATTGTTTTTAACCTTTAATTTGGTTTGCGTTTTTTAATTTTTTTTGTTCCTACATATGTAGCATATTCTTTACAGTCATAAGTCATGGAATCATTTGGCTTCATAGTGCCTATTTATTTACTGTGGTTATTAGTTTGGCACTTGGCAGTAACCCAGCATTTGTACAATGAGCCCTCTACCCTCTATCTCTTCATTTTATTTTTATATTTCGGTAATTTTTTACCTCTTTATAAATTCATTTTTTTTATTCCCTATAAAATTTATAGACATTCTAATATTCTAATTTTTTCAAGTTTTGCTTTTATTTAGATAATGGCGGTTAAGAAGATCGACAACTCGGCACTGTCACTACAGGAGGAAGACAATTTTCTTGAAGCTGTTTCAAATATGTCACGCTTGCGGCACCCAAACATTGTTACACTGAGTGGATATTGTGCTGAGCATGGCCAACGGCTTCTAGTTTATGAGTATATAGAAAAAGGGAATCTGCATGACATGCTTCATTTTGCTGAAGATAGCAGTAAAGCTTTATCTTGGAATGCCCGTGTACGCATAGCACTTGGCACAGCCCGGGCTTTAGAGTATGTTTCATGCACATATGACACATTAAGTTTCTCCTAAGCACAGCCTTGACAGGCTACCCCATCCCCCAGATTTTTCCGCAAGTCTATATTTGTAGACTTGTAGAGGGTGAGTTGGCATATCACAATTCAGGCTAATCTCTTTTTTCGGTCATATGCTTTGTCTATCAGGTACTTGCATGAAGTGTGCTTACCTTCTGTTGTACATAGAAATTTCAAATCAGCAAATATATTACTTGATGAGGAGCTCAATCCTCACCTGTCTGATTGTGGTTTAGCTGCTCTAACACCAAACACCGAGCGGCAGGTTGGTGAAAGATGCTTCTGTTTTCTTCATGCATTGCTGAACATGGTATTTGTATCTTTTCTTAGCACATTACATTGATAAAAAACATTATTTGTGTTTAACAGGTTTCAACTCAGATGGTCGGTTCATTCGGTTATAGTGCTCCGGAGTTTGCACTGTCAGGAGTATACACTGTAAAAAGTGATGTTTACAGCTTTGGGGTGGTTATGCTGGAACTATTGACAGGTCGGAAGCCGCTTGACAGGTGAGTCTATCCTACACAATGGAAATTAATCTTCATGTTAATCATTTTAATGTTTTCCGTTGTTTATTATCTTTCTTTTTCTTATGACTTCTTACATTCATTTGTAAATTTAGTTCAAGGGTTAGATCAGAGCAATCACTAGTGAGATGGGCAACACCTCAGCTCCATGATATAGATGCCTTGGCCAAAATGGTTGATCCTTCTTTGAATGGCATGTATCCTGCAAAGTCACTGTCACGCTTTGCTGATATCATTGCCCTCTGTGTTCAGGTAAAACTTTTCTAATGTTAATAATATCAAAACAATTTATTTTAATACACTCTTGGAAGTTTGGCTTTTCTGTTATTGCACCTAGTCAAATATAATCTTTATAATAATTTGCATTTTTGAGCAATCTCATGCATGTAAACGTATATGGTGTTGCCTTCATCATTTTAAAAAAAAATGTTTGTTAATGATTTTAATTTTCTCCGCAGCCTGAACCTGAATTTCGACCTCCCATGTCTGAGGTGGTGCAAGCATTGGTACGGTTAGTGCAAAGAGCAAGTGTGGTTAAAAGGCGACCCAGTGACGAATCTGGTTTTGGTCACAAGACCCCAGACCATGAGGCCATAGACATGTCATTTTAAATGTTTGAGCCTCTCGTCTTTCGCAATTTTGTTTAATGGGGTGCACTTGTCCGCCTAAAAGAATTTATACAACACAGGAAGAAGGAGAAGTTTGTGAAAATGTATCAAACAATTCAAGATATTTGTAATTACACTTGTTGGAATTTTTCACACTTATTTAATACTTTTGAAAATAAGCTGTATATTTTTAACTTGCCATGCTGTATTATAATGTAATTTCAAGCCAATTATTGCCTTGATGCAAAATAGTACAATTTTTTTTTTCTTTTTTCAAGGAGCAACTTTATGAACTTAAGCTTTGTTGTGTTGGCAAGCACTGTAGGAATTCCAATTACCGATAAAAAGGCTTTACAAAAGGCAGTGGTTGCTATTTGTAATGAGTTGGATTATTAAGACAGTGCATGCCCCTAATTATCTTCCACCCATCATTCTTCTCTATAAGAGACAGCCAGACAGGACGTTTGGCGTTTTCCATTCATTTTTTCCCACTTACTTTTTTTCTGCATGACCCTTGAATTATTTTGAACTTAAATAAAATAATAATAATAATAATTTTTAAAGATGGCCTGAACTTGTTACTTGGGTTTATAGTTATAATTGCTTCCATAAGCAATTTGATTAATATCTTTGTTATGCCACTTGGAGCAAGTTGGATTGGTGTTATCTAGATCGCCACAATCAGCCTAGCAAGGTGATTGGCTTTGTAGAGAAGTTTTTAAATTAAGTAATGTTTTTTTTTGGATATCAGGATTTAGCTAAAATTTATCAATATTTTTGTTAAATAAAATAAGATAATAAGGATCACTCGTTCATTTAAAACCACTAAGCATGCCAACTCATTTTAAAGTGTAAAGATAAAGGTGCGAATGTTATTATATAAACTGAGATAATTGTATACTAATACATTCAGAAAGATAGCTTATGATTAAAAAAAAAAGATTTGAATGTCTCATACAGAGTTCAGTAAATAACTATTCTGGTTCTAAAAAAAATTCACCTATTTCATATTGATCTTTCAATTCTTAAAACCCAATAGCAAATCCTTTAAATATTAGTTTTGCTCCTCAAACAGTTTACTTATTTCTTATTAGTATCAAATTTTGAAAAGCCAACAGTAAGTTCCTGAGATATTACTTTGTAAAGCAAGTTAGTCATTTGGTTAAGTTTAATTTTGATAATGTTTGTTAATGGAAGTGCCATTGTGGTACATAAAGTTGTTGAGCAGGCTATCAGGTAATACGTGCATTCGAGAACAAAAGCTTGAAAAAAAATCCCAATACTATGAAATATATTCTTTAGCCCAATTTAAAAACATCTTATTGCTTAAAACATTCCCAAACCAGCTCATACTTAAATGGACTGGATCGATGGATGGAAATTTAATAATCTGTATATGACATTCCTCGTTTTTAACCTAACAGACTAATGTGTCATTAATTATGTCAGCTTATAAATGACATAGGCTAGTTCAATGTGGCAGGTTAAGTTACTAACCTAAACTCAAAACGAATTTGTTTCCATCAAAACATTGTCATCTTAGCTCTGCTAGACGTCATATACCTACAGGTGATCATCTCAGTGCCACATACATCGGCTCTTCCATTAACAAAAACAAATCCAATTTAACCCTAAAGATTAAGGAATATAGTTGTCTTATGTTACACATTCATAGAATTTTGTGTCTATTTTCTTTTTCTAAAAATTATAGGCCCCACAACTTTGTTTCACCCACATAAGATCCCTATCTTATGTGACATATGACAGAAGATTAATAACCTCCCAAAGATTAACTTGTTTAGGAGACTAATATTTCAAGAATTTGGGTTTTGTTTTAAAAATCTAGGGATGAATGTGAAATACTTTGGAGATAAAACTAATATTTTAAGGAGTATGATGCTTTGAAAAATTCAACAACTTATAGTGTGAAATAAGTAAAACATTTTGAGGACCAAAGTAGTGTTTTACCGAAATAGATTCTCTCATGTAAAAAAAGAAATATGACATGGTCATGTGAAAAGATCACAACCGTATAATGGTAAATGATTTTATAACTACTTATTTTAATATTTTTTCTCTCTTTCTTTATTACTGTTGATCCACCTTTGTATGATTATGATTCCCCACTTGACCATGTTATAATTTTTTTTACATGAGAAATCCAGATCCGTATTTATTTATTTTTTGTTGGTAAACAGATCCGTGTTTTACTTTGGAGTATAATACAACGATTTTTTTACCCATAAGCACATTTATTACCTGCCTTCAGTTGCTTGCTTACGTATTAATAAGCATCCCCTTAGATGTCTATTGCCTTTCCCCATTTTTACTTTTTTTTTTTTGCTATAGCATGCATTCTTACAAAATTGGATGATTTTTAATAAAGAGAACGGGAGTGAGAAAGAATTATTCTCCTCCTTCCTTGTTAAAAAAAAAAACACAAAATCTTTCCACTCAAATTCGTAAAGAGAGGGAAATAATTTTTTTATTTGTAATAAGTAAATTTCATGTATAGTTAAAATTCCCATCGAATTTACTTCAACATCTAAACAAGGAGAAATAAATCCACCTCACTCCCTTTCTTTCCCTTACCACATCTAAACATGGGTTTCTTAGTTGATCCATGTTTGGTACGAGGTTTTAAAAAATTTGTCATCATTCGAATTTGTAGAGCAATCTCAGTTTGTGTGTAAAATTGAAAAAATTTGCCATTTCAAATCATTACCCCATCAAACCAAAAAGTAGGAAAAAAAAAGCAATGGACACAAATATCCCTTCTCAAAAAATGTGCCAAAAAAAAGCTGGAGAGAGAGGGTCTTCTTTGTATTTAGTTAAGAGTCAGTTTGGTGATTTTATCCTATTTCTCCCCCTAATATTTTACCTTCAACCAAATATAGACTCAGAAAATTTAACCCAATTTTTTTGGTAATATTTCGGCCTATCAAACAACTTTTTTTTTAACTTTCCTACCAAATTCACTTTCTCACCATATTCCTAGTAATTGTATTTTCCTGGTAAAAAAAATTTCTCCTCTATCAAATGCCCCGTAAAGAATCGATCTTCAACCAAGCCACTTTCTCAACCTCCTATATCCAAATAATTGCACACCTTACAATAACAAAAAATAAATTTAATCAAAGTTGCAGTCTTTTATTCCCTCCTTACCAAATTAAGGGCATGTTTGATCTTGTTTTGATTTTTTTTGTTTTTAAAATTATTTTGTAGAATAATTAATGAAATAGGTATTTTCTATATATATATATTTTATTTGAAAGTTAAAAGTCAAAACACAAAACAAAAACAACTCAAATATGTTTTCTAAATTTGATTCTAAATTCTAAAAAAACAGTTATAATTTTTAAAATTATATTTACGAAACAAGCTATATCAAACAGATTATTTTGTTTTTTCATTATGAAAATCAAAAAATAATTTTTGAAAACAGAATTCAAACCGGCACTAAATTTTCCTTAATTAACATCATTAGAGTGTTTATCTCCCTCCCTCACCAAAAAAAAGAGTGTTTGTCTCCCACAAACATAGTTCGAATTTGCAATAAGGGTTCAGCAATCATAAGAGCGTTCAAACCCTAAAGCTCATGAGTTCTTTCTGAACCAACACCATGAACTACAACATGTGCCATCGATTTCTTGGCTCGTGCTGCATCACATAGATAAAATGTGCCAATCAATTGCATGTGATGCAGCTCATGGTATTGGTTTGGAAAGAACTCATGAGCTTTTAGGTTTAAACACTTATGATTGTCGAACCATTATTGCAAATTCGAACTATGTTTGTGGGAGATAAAATATGCCAAAAGAGGTGTCATTTCGTAGATCTCGACAAGTTATGTGAAATAAAAAAGTTCACCTGATTTGAATACTCGAGTCAATAGTTATGGTCTTCCGAAGTTTTACGGTAAAACTATTGAAAATTTTGTGATATATGTCATCACCGGGTGAGTCCCGTCATGATCAGTGACAGGAATTCCTACATGGCGCTGACATGGCATTAGTCCCATCAAGATGAGTGATGGGACTAGTCCCGTTTGACTGAATTAGTTTAGAAAAACTTATCCAATCAATTTTAACTGGCAATTCATTTGCCCAACATATTTAGAATAGTGCTTTTGCCAAACATTTGAGCGCAAATGGGTTGGAATGCGCCCCATTTTGGGCGTGACCAGTCGCGTCCAAAATGGGGTGCGATTGGCACCCAAACACCCTATGATGCATTGCTTGAGAAGAGTGCACCCTAAGAGCACCCCATTCTCCTTGTTGCAAAAGCCAGTTTATTGAGAGTTGGATTTGCGGCACAAATCTAATGAAGAACTAGAAGTTGTGTGTGTGAAAAAGGCAGAGAGAAAGAGAGAGGGAAGAGAAGGAGGCTTGTTGCTCATCAAATGTATTCAAGCTCATGGAGAGGACAAATGGAGACTACTACCTAAAAGAGCTGGTAAGACTAGGTTCCTCTTCATCTGTTACCCTATTTCTCTTTTATTGCTCATTCGGGTTCATGATTTTATCATTTAAATCTCTCATATTTCGTTCTTGATTTGTTTTTCCCTTCTAAATCCTTAGTATTATGCATTACTTTTTAATATTTCTTCCTTTTTTTTTCTCTCAAATATAAATTTTGTTGGTGGTAGATGCAAGGCTTCATAGATGCGAAAAAAGTTGCAGACTAAGATGGATGAACTATTTGAGACCAAATATAAAGAGAGGAAACATAACTCCTCAAGATGAACTTATAATTAGAATGCATTCACATTTAGGAAATATATGGTTCTCATCGCTAGAAAATTACCAAGATCGAACATATAATAACATAAAAAAACTAATGAAATACCCATCTCAGTAACAAACTGAAAAATCAAGGAACAAATTCAAACACACAATAAGCTAACAGATCCAGACAAAAAGAAGAATGGCTGTTGCGAAATCGGCAAGTATACCGTTCGTTTCAAGTAATAAAGTGATAAGTAGAGTATCGTTCCCACGAAGATTAATGCACCAAGTACTAGTTTATATTCCCCTTAAGTTGGAAAAGAAAGTTTGTTTGATTTGTGAAAGTGATTGATT